TGGGTAGCCTACAACATTTATCAGGTAAAATAATTCACTTGTTGTAGTAGGTCCATTGTCATTCACTCAACTTTAAAGTCAAATCACATCCATCTGAAGTTCCAATTTTTATCTTTGTTGTAAAATTTTCTCCAGATTGTCACATCGTCATCTATAAGTAATTAAATCAGACGATACTTTCTGATGAAGGTCTTTTGCAAAAATTGAGAAGTAAAGAGGTTCTAGTGCTTAGCTCTGAAAAGTCCCAATACGACATTCTACAAACCGATAAAAAGTGAGGTTTACCTTGACCCTGAAGAGTTTACTACTTAGATGTGAAGTAAGCCACTCTATTAACGGTGACTTGACACTACGTAGTTTTCGCCGATTGATGAGACATGTGTGACTGACTTCATCGAAAACTTACGAAATCTCAAGATATATATATATAATATCAACCTTCCCCAGCGATCAAGAATGGCTATCTATCTGTTCACTGGGGTCAGCAGGCTGGCTATGAAGAAGTGATCTTTCCTGAAGCCAAGCTATTGGGGTGAGAATAGGTTTACAGATGTAAAGCAATCACGTAGGCCATAGTATATATGAGTATGAAAGTAATAAAAGATACGAGAGTTTCCTAGTTAATGGTTATTTTTGTAAAATAAAAACAGTATTTTTCTACTTCTCTTTGTTTACTTATCTTTTAGACGCTAACTTTTCACTCTATAGTTGAAAACGAACTATATATATCTCTAACAAAATGGTGATAAGAGCCAGGTCTTGCTTACTGTCAGATCTTTAAATGTGGTGCGATTAGCTTAACGGTTATGAGGTTTATGCTACAGCGTTGATATCCATATACGCGGTATATGTATTGACCTCTGTTATCAACCACAGCTTGTTATATTATTATTTACAGACTTTTCATATTATCCAGATAGAGTTAATGATATTTACTTTGACACATTACTTGCTTATAAATTTATAATCTTTGAGGGTATTGAGAGAAGTACTACCGCCTGGTAGATTGAAATTTCTCTGCACTGGCCTCTATTGGAATCTGGTTCAGTGTTCACCAGTTTTCGATTTTCCGGGACCGTGCCTTGGCCTAGCAAACCTGAGAACATTATGATTAGGCAACATTGAAGCCACTTCTCTCAGAGTGAACTATTACCGGACCAGGATGAGTGTCAGGTTCATTTACAAGTGTGAATCTCTTGTTGATGTAGTTTGTACGCGTCAGTGAAACATTTAAAAACACTGTCCTACCAAAATTTTGGCGTCGCCACTGTTGTTATTGGCCGAACCATTATAACCTAATAATTGGCAAATCCCAGTTTTATCTCATAGAAAAGAGGTAGCAATACGACATCAGCTTTTCCGGTTTCGCCTATAAAATTGTAGGCTGTGATAGTCGGAGTACTTTTCTTCATGGGGGACCAGGACAGAGAGACTTACAAATGGGAATTTTCTGTTCGCAAATACGCTGTCTGAATGTGATGGCTTCTGACTACTTCATCATCAAATTGATAACTTGATATTTTCAAGTAATCCTAGTTCTTTAGTGAGGTTGAAGAACCGAGCTTCAGTAGAGCTCTCACCCTTAGTGTACGTGTATTCAGCGAAACTGACTTCCGAAAAATCAAAATTTCCTGAAATCAGGATGCTAGTGTATCTGAGATCAAAATAAAGGAGTAACCTCAGCTGGATACGGTTGTTATATAAACTATTAGCGGTGTGCGTCCTGTAAATGACTCCAATTATATATCTCGAGCTTTTAGACAGCCTCACTGAGCAACATGCAGCTTCATCAAGATTGATAAAACCTTGGGTGCACACTTGATGTGCTATCAAGGAAAGTCGTAGGTACATTGTTGCTCCAACCTCATTCCTTTTGCTTCATCGCTGCGAAACAAATTGATCTCAATCTCCTAGTCTGTCAGTCGAGTTGCTCATGCTTTAGGAGTTTCTATCAGATATATATGATTAGCGTTACTTAATTCATGCGACTCATCCATTTCGTTCGGTAAACTTGCAGCTTTCGTATGTAGGCAGATCCTGCTTTCGAGTAGAAGGGTGTGAGCTTACTCGTCCTGTTTATCCAGATGAACCTTGTGTGAATGGACAGGCAACTTATCCACAAAGTGTTTTCCAAGACTTTAGTCCGTACTTCTAGGTTTTCACCTTTTCCTTTACAGTCGTTTCCAGCTTGCTTTCATGCTTGATCCAAGCATCATAAAGCCTGTTTGGACGCAAGTGGATTCCATTTGACAATCAGCGTTTGTTGGCACGAAATACTTCAGTAGTGGCAACCGTCACTTGAAGTGTAGAACAGTTTTTTTACATTGGTTGGCGTTTAAAATCCACATCCTTCCCTGCTAATATTACCACTTGTTAGGTTTGTACCTAAGCTTCAAGAGCTGCTTCATGAATTTTCACTAAAGAATATCCTTACAATCAGGGTCCGTTTTTCTGGTAAACTTTCCACGAGAAAACGTCTTGTGAGATTCATCAGGGATGTTCCTGATAGGAATGTGCTCAGAATATCATGTATTGAGCAGTATCTTCATATCACCTTCTGATTCCAGCAACTGAATGCCTAGCAGAACATTATCTAAGTAAGCAGTGTTAGCAAACGTTATATGAAGGAATCTTTGATGGTTTCGGTGTTTAGTATCATCCTCCACAGTAAACCGGGTAACCGTCAGCGGGTCACTATTGGGATTTCAAGACTTTTATTTAACTCTCCTCAGAGCATCCTGTTGTTACAGTCCTGCCGACTTAGATGAATTTCAGATTTAACTTTACGGTTCATGATTAAGAGAGAATCATGGCTAGATGTGATCGTTTTGTTCAGATTTACGGATGCGGTGTAGTTGGGGCTCCATTTGTATGTCAGTTTGATCATACGCCGGATGCCCTAGATGCTTGTTGATAGGTTGGAAATTCTACGAGATAGACTACACGGCCAATTGTTCAGCTGTTTTTTCTTGCAAATCCTGTACTACTTAGCAATGTCGACAGTGACATCCTAACGGTTTTAACCCTGCTGGCAATATCCAGTCATCAACAGTAGACGTTTCGCGGACAACAGCTGCATTTGGAGTCTTTGCTAGGAAACAACTTTTTTGAGGGAATCCATTACCACCGATGTTTTGTTGGTGCTGCATTTCAGAATAAACTCACCAGTGCTGATGCTCGTTCCATCAATACTAATATTTTAGATGATCGTTTTTACTTCACTGGGCATCCTTTTTATTTATGCCGTTCAGGACTGACTTCTTTTAAGGTTGTCGATAATGTGTCCCCAGACTTGTAAGGAAAATCATTATATTGCTCAGCTAATCCCCGAAATTCATGTTACATGTACTGCATGCTCACTTGCGATCCAACTTACTATCTGTTTTAATTATTTCCTGGAGATTCCGTGCATACTTCGCGAAGCCAACCTTTGCTCTTTTAGCATTGAACACCACAGGTGAAGGTGAAAAGTGATGAAGGTCGCATTCAAGTGTTTTTAATGAACATGGTGAGATATAAGTTGTTAGACAAATCTTAGAAAAGGTTTAGGACTATGAGAAATATTCTCGAAACGGATAAAGTCGATAAAAACGGGTTGTAAAAAGTTAAGAGACACTGAAACCGTCTTCGACGTGAAAGGCCGTAAAAACGGAATAGTAAGCTGAGACGAACTTCAATTAACCATTAACTCCGATAAAACTTTAAAAGAAAAGTAGTTTGCCGGAGGTTAAGGCCAGAACAGATTCCTGAGAACAAAAATGGCACTTTTGCCGCATAAGGATACTGCAGAAGATTGAGAAGCCCGAATTACGTTAGGTTATTACTTCCTGTTCGTAAAATGCTCAGTTTCTGTGATGGTCTGCAATGTTTTGGTGAGGATAGAATGGTTTTTACTTAAGTGACTAATGGTGTTTAATACGTTCCACAACATTTTCAAATCGCTCCGTACTCGCATGTCAATCAGCAGAAACAATCCAGGATGGCAAAGCCGATTTTCATATGGGTTGTTGCTCAATTTTTTGATATACTCTGTAGCACGTCTCTTCACTGATTTCAGTAGATTCATAAACTTTCTGAGGGAAGGAAATGACAATATGTTGTTGGTCTCTTATCAAGAGTGAATATTGGTCTCTAACAATGTCAGACACAGCTCTGTTCTCAAAATGCCTAGTTGCCCTTGGATTAAATAAAGAGTTTTCTAGCTGCGCATCCTTGTTAACTTTTACAGGCACTGTCAGCAATAGACGGCAGAAAAAATGGCCAACTCGAGCTCTCTTTGTGTTGCGGAGGACGATCACTTTTCAGTTTCAGACATTGATCGCTAAACCGTTTTTTAGTGTCCATTTTTCCAACAGTGTTAGGCCTTTTCGGAGCTCAGCCGAATCGGCCTCAGTTCTGACTACCTTCTAAGGTATAGTGTCATCCGCGTAGATGAGATGTAGTGAGCTAAGCTTAACTAGGTGATTAGTGATAAATTTTGTGCACTAAACACATAACACCGTTTATCTACATTTTGTATTGCGACCAAAAATACAATAAAGTTTTTTGAACTATAAAAGTCCATTCCTCATTATGAAGTTACAGACATTTTTGAGACTAGTTTCGTAGATTCGCAGAACCTGAAAAGAGAATGAAGCCTCGAACTACCCGGGTAGCTTACAGGATATCACTAGTCAGATAGAATAATAGCAGAAGTTCAAATTGCATCAGTTTCCATCAGTGGGTTTCAAATTAGAGATTGTGAAGACCTTTATGACTAACCAATTACGCTTAAGTTTTTTGTTACTGTTTATCCGTTTCATCTCATTTTTAGGGATGAGTTATCAATACAAAACGCTTGAAATGAGGTAAGATGTCTTAGACAAAAACGCTCCGAGTTTGATCATATATCTCTTAGATTCATTCACAAAAAGTGTATATACTTTTTTAGACACAAAACACCAGCATACTATCCATTTGTTGCAGCTCCTTCGCTGTTTATTTATGCTTATCATTCTGGCGGTTATTTTCATCATGTGTTCCCATGGCTTCAACAAGTATCTCAGTTGAGACTGGATCTGTGGTTAGTTATGGTATCATGTATGTTTTTGATGCATCATTGTACAAGTAGAGGGGGTTTAATGCATCGGTTGTAGTTAATTAATTCGTTAGATGCCCTGCTTAATGCAGAGTTTATGTCCCTATGCGAACTAGTATCCAGAAAAACCGATCATTTTTAGTTGATATATCAATTAAAGCTGAACAGGAATTCTGTCAAGTTACTTTAATATAATTTGCCTCTTGAAAGCTTACACAGTGTCTAAATATGCTATTTTCCGGCGTTACCTTAATGATTCATCAAAATAGTGAATTGTATTGGGTTACGACATTGTAAGAGCTAGTTTATAACAAGCCTAATAATTCTTTATTTGTTTTATGGAGTTCTTAATTGTGCTCAGTCATATTCAATTTTAAGATGAAACTGCTTTCCAAATAAGTCGAATAAAGATGCGGACACCACTTCTTTTCGTAGTCCCAATTGTTGGTAACTCGGTTGGAAACCTGTGTAACATGGGTCGTTTTTCGTTCTTGCCTCTTAAAATCGTCTGTTATGTCCTAGATATTATGATGCGGTAGTGACAAAGAATGTTTCAAGTCCATGACCACTTAATATTCTACGGACCAACATCTGATCAGCTCTTGACCTGTAGTAAGATGGCGGAGGCCTAACTTCCTCAGCCACCGTATGTACGGTAAGCTTCGGAATTATATGGGTAGTTTTCCTCTGTAATTTTTCCAAGACACCTAAGTCACCTCTTAAACATAGGTTCGCAGCCTGTAAACATTCTTTAAGTTTGAAAATCTCTAAGGTTGTGTATTCTGTGGTGAACACACTTGTATGGAACTTGGGAAGTGCCCGCTCCAAGGTTCATTGAATTATGAACCCCTTGATCTCAACCCCGTGGTAGTAGGTTGTAGTCTTGATATTGTTGGTCAATATTACTCCTAACTCGCCGTGAAACAAAACTAAGAGCACGGAAAATTCCCCAATCCTGTAGCTGTTTACCGTTTGATCTCCAATATAAGTGCATTGGTAGGCATCAACCATAATTTAGACCAGTTAGCCATGATGTACGTGCATCTACATCCTTCGATATTTCTCGCCGGATTTTAATATTGTCAGTGTAAAGTAGCTTTGGGCTGTCCACTATCTCCATTTTCGTTCAATTTTATCATGGGCCTACTGCTAGAAAAAAAAACGTTTTCGTCGACTGAATTTTCAGGAATTGATCTCCTACCAGGTCGACTTATCAACTTAGAATACGCAGATGACATAGTCCTGTCTGGTAAAAACGCTGATAAAAGGCAGATTTCTTGGGTAGCACTGAGCAACAGTATCAGGATGTTTGGGATGTGTTTCTCTCCCTCTAAATGCAAGTTGTTACTTCGAGGCTGGCCTGTGTCAACACCTGAACTAAGGATAATGAGTGAAGTAGTTGAACGCGTCGACAATCTCACTTAACTTGGAAGTCTGATCAGCCCTAACGGGTGGGTGTCTGACGAAATTTCTGTACTGATTCAATAAGGTCGCTTGGCTTTTGTCAACTTACGTGACCTATGTAGATGGCGAGATATCCATCTATCAATTAAAGGACGAGTATACTGCGCGGTAATTCGTTTTGTTTTACTTCACAGTTGCGAAACATGGCGATTAGGGTTGGATGATACTTGTAATTTACTAGTATATGATGACAGATGTCTTAGTAATATTGCTCGCATCTGCTGGGATCATAGGGTAAGTAACAGTGGGGTTAGACACAAGGTATTAGGGAATGATGGTTAATCAGTTGATGAAATTGTAAATCTTCATCGACTGAGATTGTTGGGCCACATATTACAACGGGCAATCGTGAGTAACGTTGGAGACGGATGGGAGAAGATCAGGGCGGTTAAACCAAAACGTGGCATCAGTCCTTGAAGTCACTAACTTCTAGTCTGAACTATGTTGGTAGATGCCGACTACTTGATTGGGGTCCGCGCGACTATCGTAAGGAGTAGTTGGAGACCATGGGTGACATGGTTCAGAATGCATCACAATAGTGTAGGTGCATGCACTCTTTATCTTCCACCGAATTCCCTGGTACGGCCGAGAATGGGAAAAGTCAACCGTCTCTCAAAATGCCCTCACATGGCCATGTGCATACACGCATATTGTCACGAAACTCCTACCCACTGACTTCTCGCGGCCGGCGTGTTGTTTACAAAATTGAGAGGATGAAAGGCGAATGTTCGGAGTCTTAACTGGGTTGTTGGATATGGAGGGTCCACCTAGTGGATTTGTTAGACCCTGATTCCAAACCAATGGTGCACATGAGCTCCAGGATCCTGATGGAACGAATGGCGTATGAACCTATTGTTGGTCACCGGCTACCATGGGACTGCATCTCCTCACGATGCTCCACTGCCTCGTGGATCAGACCTTTAGGTCAAAGGCTCCGGGTGTGGCTCCTTAAGAAAACCATCTGCTTCAGTCTGGGCACCTGGGCAGTATCACAGCCCTCACACAAATCGAATGAGATTTGTGAGGCGCATATTTATCTGGTGCTTTTTGTACCAATATTTATGTGTTTAAATAAATAAATAAAATTCTTGTACTGTAATTTGTATATAAGAACTGTAGCTTTGCCTGCCGGATTACAGTTTGTGCAACTGATTTCCATATTCCCAGTGATCACGGTTTGTTTATATATTTATTTCGGACCGATTTGTAGCGTTCCATCGCATTTGCTGTGTCAAGACGGATGATGACCTATCAGTGTCTCTAATTTTTTCTTGGTAAATGTTGAATCTCCTGGTTTAAACAGAGATGGCTGTGTTTTTCCTTGGGGGGGGGTATAAACGGCTGTTACTTGATTGCATAACCACCGTAAGGGACCCCACGTTTCTTATCTTAGTAGGTTGGGAAGTTTCGTCTAGTTTACATGTCTGATGTATATACATATTCTTAGGGATCAAATAAATCTTAAGCGGGGAATATTAGTTTATTTTTGTAATAGTTGTTTTGATTATCCTTTCTTGAAATATAGTAATGGTGTTTTAGTGATATCTGTTTTCCATTGTTTAACATTGTTCCTCTCATAAGTGTTTGGAACATTAGGTAACGTGGTTCTGAATCTGTATAAGTTGCGTAAACGCACTGTCTTCATCTTCCACTCGATCTTGAATTTCGATATCCCTCCATACGTACCTCCATTCTATTCTTTCTCCAGCCTTGTCCTCAATGTCTAACCTTTTTCACTGTCATCAGCTCAGACCCTTTGCGATTATTTTTATCTCACCACTCTGATATGGTATGATAAAGTTTAGTGACTTACATTCATACTACCTTCTACGTTAAGACTGAATGGCAGTTCATGTTTTTCATTTTTTGATCTAATTAATCTCTTTTGAACTGCATTTTCTTATGTCCATCGTTACTGATGAAGTTATCCGCTCTCCTCATTATTATGTTATTAGGATACTGAGTGGCGAACTCTAGATTTTAGTCGGTCGTTCCTTAGGGATTTTAATTAAAAAACGCATTTGGCAATCATCCTTAAAAGACTTCTAAATTTGTTATGGGTAGATAGATAAACGTTTCATGAATAATTTCTTGTTATCAAATGTCAATAGCCCGAATCTTTGAATGAATTACGAAGATTGGGTATTTTGTAGCAACTAGCATATATATATATATCCCGATGAGAATAATGAACGGCAGCTGTTGGATCCTGGCACCAGATCCTACGAATCTGCTTAAAGGGAGGTGTTAGCGGGACATTGATTGGATTAAGACATGTTCCGTGCGCGATTGCGTTAGCGCACGTTGATTGGCTATTTCTTATCCAATCAGCGCTAGTCGACACTTAGAGGACACTAGAATCTTCCCATATCAACCGCTGAAGCCTAGAGTAAATACCACTAAGCCAACTTACATGCAGTCCAGCACGAAGCCAGGTGCATGCTTCATTATATATTTTTGGGTCATGTTAATAATCCTTTCGCAAATTCACCTATGGAAACCTTGTTACAACTTCTACTTCCTCTAGATAGTCAAATTAGGTCATCTTTTCAGCATTAGTCGAGCGGCAAAGCCACTATAACGACGCCAATTTAACGACCTCACTAAACCATTCAATCGGTATTAGCGACGAGCGTTGTGTACTAACGTATTTCTTATTGCTCTTCTTACTTCCATATACCCTTGCTATTTGGAATACAATTTCTTCCTATTCAACCGTGTTCTGATTTGGGGACTTGTCGAGTGAATTGGTGTCCAAGAATACTATATATATATATATATAGTGCGCATAGTACCTCTTTGAAATAATGTCTAATATGGTTTGCAAATAATTGTAAAATTTTCGAATCTGAGAGGCATCACTCTCACTGACCAGAGGATCTTACAGAGTTTCATTACTTCATTTAAAGAGATGCTGGATAAAAAAGTCATATCCGCTAGTAAAAATGTCTCAACGAATCTAGTTCAGCGTGTTAATTTCTTCTGAAACTACTTTTGTAAAATTTTAGTTCTGTTTTGTTTCCAGTCATTATGATGTCATATTTAGTGATACGTTTTTGTTATGTCTCATTCTGAGTTTGTAGCTGTTGGTTCGCTCCCAAAATAGACCTTACATCGATTCATTGCTGTCTGATCATTTTCCAAACCAATATGCCCCTCAAAGTGGGAAATCGTTGATTGAAGTTTGCCAGCCTTCTTCCTGTGAATGCTCTGAATTTCTTCACCAAAAGTTAATGCAATGCGTCCTTCCAAAAACATTTAGTGGGTTTCACTTGAATGGTTACAATACACATTGTCTTCTCATTGACTGTGGGGGTCGGTTTTATGCATCAAAGTTTGGAGAGTTTGTTCGCAGACATCTACAAGACGAAATACCTGCTTTGAAGTTTGAACACAACCAATATGAAGTGTTTTTGGAAGAAGTTTGTTCTCTAATTTCTTGATACGCTTCTAACAGATATTGTCTAGGGTTCATATTATTCGTGTATTTACAGATTGTGAACTCCTTTTGGCTTTTTCTTACTCAAGAGAAGTTATCAAACAGCATCCAGTTTCTTGTCTTATGATTAGTGCGATGAATGCTTTTACATATTTGGAACGTTTACGCTACAATTCGTGGAAGAGTCTTGTTAGTCAACATTCAATATTAATGGGTATTTTGCTCCGTCTGATTGCCGATTTTCAGCTTCTTTGTATTGTCATCATGAGGTACTCCCCTGATATTCATGTTCTAAATGATTCTTTGAGTACTGACACTGAGATGTTTCATCCGAATAACTCATTAGGCTCTGAAATAAGGAGCGATGATTGGTCGAAATATGTAACTCATAAAATTGAATTAATTGACTGTCAGCATTCCTTTGTATCATGTATCAAACACGAATCTAGTATGAAAGTGATAAAAGATACGAGAGTTTCTTAGTTAATGGTTATTTTTGTAAAATAAAAACAGTATTTTTCTACTTCTCTTTGTTTACTTATCTTTTAGACGCTAACTTTTCACTCTATAGTTGAAAACGAACTATATATATCTCTAACAAAATGGTGATAAGAGCCAGGTCTTGCTTACTGTCAGATCTTTAAACGTGGTGCGATTAGCTTAACGGTTATGAGGTTTATGCTACAGCGTTGATATCCATATACGCGGTATATGTATTGACCTCTGTTATCAACCACAGCTTGTTATATTATTATTTACAGACTTTTCATATTATCCAGATAGAGTTAATGATATTTACTTTGATACATTACTTGCTTATGATTTTTTCCTTCGTGTGAAGCTCAGTGTAGAATTATGAATTGACCTAATTTTACAAAACCATATTTCCAGACATTCGAAACTGATTAAACAGATTCCCTGGTACGATCGAGAGTGGAGAAAGTCAGCCGTCTCTCTCGAAATACCCTCATATGGCCATGTGTATACACGGATACTGTCACGCAAGTCCTACCCACTGCCTTCTCGCGGCCGGCGTGTTGTTTACAAAATTGAGAGGATGAAAGGCGAATGTTCGGAGTCTTAACTGGGTTGTTGGATATGGATGGTCCACCTAGTGGATTTGTTAGACCCTGATTCCAAACCAATGGTGCACATGGGCTCCAGGATCCTGATGGAACGAATGGCGTATGAACCTATTGTTGGTCACCGGCTACCATGGGACTGCATCTCCTCACGATGCTCCACTGCCTCGTGGATCAGACCTTTAGGTCAAAGGCTCCGGGTGTGGCTCCTTAAGAAAACCATCTGCTTCAGTCTGGGCACCTGGGCAGTATCACAGCCCTCACACAAATCGGATGATTTATGTGATACATATCTATTTGGTGCCTCCCCTTGTATCACCGTTTATGTGTTCAGTTAAATAAATAATAAATAAAGTACGCATATTCACTTATACAATCGAGTATTTCCTTAATGCTTCTAGCATTCGCTTATTTGTTAAAGTACTCAGATTTCGACATCCACAGCTTCAAACTCCTTTACGCGTAAGTAAATCTGTGCAGCTTGATAAAATTATTAATCATCACACAAACAACGTGGCTTAAATTGAGGTACATAAATGTGTGTTTGGTAAATAAGTTGCATTGAGACTGAGTTATTAACTTACAGTCTCTTATTTAAATATGCTTACTAGTCATTATTATTGTATATCACCATACTATTGATTCTTTACGTGAATGTTTGCGGTCAAATTAGTGCTTACCATAGATTATTATTTGAAATCAGTCACATCACGAAGTGTTTGTTAGTTCATTTTTGTCGTATGTTATACTAACCGGAATCGGAAATTGGGAATTTTATCTTACCTGAAGTATATAGCACAGTCCTGTCAAGCAAATGTTCTGACCAAACCCCAAATCCTTTGAGTACCTTAAGTAACTGTAGGAAGTATTTAAGAAGTGTTTTTCGTTAAGTATAAAATGTTGCTTCAGGAATGAGATATATCTCATATTTTATTAATAGATAACGAAGTATTTGGGGTCACCATTCCTGATGGAATTTCGACGTGGGGGCTAAGGGCTTTTTTGGTCAATATCAGCTCGGATCGTTTGTTTTGCAGTTGACTTGCTAACGGTGGCTCAATGGTTAAAACACCCAGATTGCAACTGATAAGTGTCAGGTTCAGTCCGTGCTCCATTTACTCCGGTTTTTTCTCAGACAATATCGCTAGCCTACTCACATAAAAAATATTTGACTCAAAGCTGGGTACGTAAACTGTAATGGATAAATGAGTTAAATTATTGTTATTATTCACTTGGTATTGTTTGGTTGAATCTTCCCATTGACGATTCTGACTGCAATCAGTCAGTACTGGGTTCGAGTCCCAGAGTGAATATCAACTCTGAGATACAGGTACATCCAGCTGACGAGTCCCGGATAGGACGAAACGCGCGTCCTGGGTTCCACTGCTAGCCACTATCCATCTTTGCTTATATTATTATTATTATTATTATTATTATTATTATTATTATTATTATTATTGTAATTGAGGTGTCTGCATGTTTACCAGAGAGTGTAGAGAGGTACAGGCTTTTTGGTTTGGATAATCAATGTTCTGAGATTTCCAAGCACATCTCATGACTGATCCTTGTTTCACAAATGAGTCCTTTTTTATTTTTGTTTGAATCATCTAGCCTTGTACTGCTGTTGGTATAACTATTTTAACATTTTTGTTTTTCCTCTTGTTGCTTTCCAACTTTGTTAACGTATGGTTTGCTAATTCAGGACAAACCAAATTGTTCTAGATCCTTAAGTACTTATATTTACCCGAATTTTTTTAAACGAGTAATAATATATATGTCCTGTAAAGTTAGCTTTTTCTTGTCATAATTTCCTGATTTATTTTCACTTTGATGAGTAGCTACACATATGTTCTATGAAATACCACTTATAAACAAGTGTTTGACTTTTTTCATCATTGTTTATACTCCATTTTTTGATGACATAATTTCTACGTTGATTTGTACTTTTGAACTATTTTCCCCATTACCTGTTACATTTATTTTAAATTCTTTACACCAGAAAGTAGAACTTACCAGTCAACTATGCAATTGTTATAACTATGGCTTCAAGTGAAGACAACGGTTACGTACTGCAGAATGAAGTAGTATGCATTGAAACGAAATCGGTTGAACCTGTTTTGTGCAAACCAAGACTCCTACCATTGAAATCTGTTAAACTCTCTGGCTATGAGGTCGAAGATGAAATCAATAGTGCAGAAAATTTAGGATTTAATAATCATAAAGCTAAATAATTCCTAAAACTCATTTGTTTTTCATGTACAACTGGTGTTCACTTATTTCAGCATATTATAAAATAGATTATGGTAGAAGTACAGATATATATTCTTTTGTAATTGATCCTTTAGTCAGAAACAAGTCGTTTTATTAGAAAACCGTCAGTTTAACACGATTTGTTTGAGTTGACTTTATTTAGGACTTGAACTTAATCAAGTTTAAATTGACCAAATTATCACTAAAGAAAATTTCATTTTCACTTCAATTGTAATCTGGTATAGGTGCGGTCAAACTAAAACATGCCATCAGTTCGTGTAGTCACTGACAATTGAACTTAGCTATGGGGTCTGAGTGGTAATCGTAACCAATGATTAGAAACTTCGAAAGACATGTCTGAAAACCGTTTGCAATGGCTCAGGTGTATCTATTCTTTGTTTCCCCCCAAATTCTGAGATTATGAATCCGTCATAACACTTGTTTTTGTTTCATTAATTTATATTTTCACGCATCGTAACTTCCATGCCTAATTTTTCCTAATAACGCTAATGCTGTTACTACTTCTGCTACTCTGGGATTTGTGCTGACAGTTTCATGTCACTGTGCTAATGGGGTATAATAATTGCAACCGATATATGTAAGTACCAGGTTCTACGTTGTGATTGACTGACCTGACTGTAATCTTAGTGAAAAATGGAACATTTTATTGAAAAAACTGCAGTCATGAAATCAGCTTAGAATTTCATACTATCTGGTCATTAATATTTTGTAGTAGCTTGAAAATAACTCATTTCTGTCTCTTAGAACGCACTAAGTAATATGGATTCAACACACCATCGAATAAGTAATTAAAGTTTTTTGTTTCTTTTCAACATCAGAGTAGGTGTTCGAGTAGCTTTTTGATTGGAGAGCTGTGGTCATAAGTTGTCCAGTAAACTGTAGTACCTAACGCTGAAAACATATTATGCTCTAAATCAGTGTTACATCTTTATTTACACCCTGAACTAACTATACCAACAGGATTTTGTTATTCAATAAACTCAACTTATTGTGAAACCAATTAATCAAGCGATTTTGTCACGGAGAGCTATACCAGAGAAGAACATCGTCCCATTAAAGCCTCTTGTTTTAGACACTTCTGCTTGCGTCAGGATTTGCATTCATCTATCACTTAACCGGCTACATGTGTTCGTTAACGCTTTCCACTCTTTACTCGGTTTTGCCGTTTATATTCTAATCTCGCGTTGACTCCATTTGAATATAATCCCCCACTAAACTTCTGCGAACCCCATTGCTGAACGGTATTATAAAAAGTCAGATACGAAATGTGTTAGAAAACTTGTACTTCATTCTTATGATTTAGTTGACGGATAATGCGAATGAATAGATCGATTACTACTACTAGCCAAGGACGGTAATTCTGAGCCAGGATATATATATATATAAAGACATCCAGTGTATAGAATACGGATAGCCAATTAGAATATAGATGAAGATAAACAAGTGAAGTATGTACTGATGTGAACACACAATTATATGGAAAGTGCACACTAAAATCAAGTGAATAATCATACTTATAATAGAAGTACACGGAAAGGTGTTCCAGTAAAGGTTAATAATTAATCCCACAGGTGCACATAAAATAGTGAGGGATACACTTACCTGTCACGTTACATGTAGTTATTTTAGAGCTCTTCACATAAGAGTCAATTTACGTAGGTTTTATAAAAAGTCACTTTGGCCTTCTAGAGTTAGTCTTCTATCTAGATACTTACTAATCTAATGTACATATGACATAATTATTTTCGCTGACAATAATAAAGATCAGTTCTGTGAACTTCTTTAGACAACGATGTAAAGATGGTTGGAATATGCTCTTCCTTCCGTAGACGTAAAACATTACCTCGGAGAGAACTCTTCGTTTTACTTTGAAGAGTCAGGTAGTTGGGCTGGTCAACTACTTTGCTTTTCTAGCAAGTCACTCATCCTTAATGAGTTGATAGCTTTGGAGGTCATGGCACGGATGCAAAACGGTTACTTGCTTCTAGCTTATCCGTGGTACTTAAGAGTTCTCATTAAATGCTGCGATGTACACTCCGCAGAATACCATTCTCATTGAATAGGGTATTTTTATCTATTCATTCTGCCGGTTATTGGTCAGGTGGATTCATTTTTTCAAGGTGTTACATTGATTGCTTTGATAAAGTCACCATCCGAAATTCACAGGATAACTAAGGTAGCGTTTTGGGAACATTCATTATGTCAAAAATAAAACATTTAGTCAACATTTGATTTGTTGATTAAGAAGACAGACTCAGTGACTTCATCTGATGACAGTATATTATTTAAATCTCCAACTACGATTATTTTAGGTCTTAATTTTAAGTTGAAATGAAAACAAAGTTTTCTTTGAAGGGTACTTTCAGTAGCTAGCCATCCTCTCAACCGTTGAGATACTTCTGTGTATTCTATAATTTTTCATAGGATCCTTGCTAAGATCTTATTGGAAGCATATATGATTGATATGTTGTATAGTACTTGCTTGCATCTATTCAAAATCGGTCTTGTTTATTTAACAGATAATAGAGAGGTAGTGTAGACGTAATTGATAGATAATGGTTAAGATGAGCTAATCATCTCTAAATATGTTTCTTAGTCAATGTTTTCATTCTAGACTTCTCACCATTGACAATCAATCCCACTGAAAAACAATTTTATAGCTTCTGAATCTTTTATTGAACAAAATACTAGCGTGATCAAAAGTCAATCTAACATACTATAAAAACCTAGTGTGAAGAATGACGTTTTTTTTTACCTTACTGTAGCCCTTGAAACCTTGATGAAGGAAATTCACCACTTAATACATAGGTAACTTCCTAATGTCATAATGAAACTTGGAATCTCAATATACGAAATAAGAGTGCATCGTTGCAGTATTCCTATTACGAATATTAGGACTGAATCAAGCATCGCATTATTGGTACCAAACTACGTTTATAGTTGAGTTTCTTCCCACATAGTGCAGTGTTTTAAACTTCTAAAAACGAAATAACTCAATAAATGAAAGGGCTGGAATCTATCGGAAAATGGGATTCTCTTGCTTTTTACTCTAGAAGAAGATAAGCTTTACAGATGAGAGCAGTTACTCTAAAACGTTATTTGTCCCATGACCACTTACTAAGAATATGTAATATTCATAGTTCAGTTTGTTACTTTCCGAATTGTGAGAAATACCTAATTCGTCTATTTGCCATGGCATAATTACCAAGACAGGATTTTACGAGCCTCTTGATTATTTCCAAATAGACCAATTTTGAACTGTTACGCTGATATCGAAAATATATTTAATCCAGCCCTGCTTTTGAGGAGTAATATTTTTACGGTTCATTACGACTTAGGACTCATATCTGAGATTAAACGTTGAAGTATTTATTCTAACAAATTTAACTTCACGATGAACCTGTTGCTTTTATAATTTCTTCAGCAGTTGTCATCAGTATATTATAATCTCTTGTGTCTAGTGTTGTTCAAGATTTTTATTTCTTCGTTTCATATAATTAGAGATCTATTAACAGCATTGTCAGAGGTATTTTTCAAAATCATGTCGTACTTTTATGTTGCTGATAACCAACTAACTGATTATTACCGAACCAATCAAGATAGTACATAGTTATCACTTCAGTTCTTTAAAATTACATTTTTTGCCTGTTTTTTTATATCAAGTTGCAATTAGTAAAGTATTGTAATTTATTTTTAGTAAGAAGTATAACATTAGTTTGGGTAAATTATTTCCTTAAATTTTCCATCTTCCTACATTACTTGATAGAGCTTCACATAAATAAAGCATCCTAATGTAATCTAATATAGTTACAAATTGTACAGAATGGTTAAGACAGTTACTGTAATTCCTATATTATTATCTTTAACCATACTGAGTAGGGAAGAATTATGTTACCTTAATTGTCAGTTTGATGAATGTGCAAATAATAGTAGATGTATTCTTACATTTGTTAGATGAAATAATATATACAAGGGGAGAACTTTTTATAACCCATGTTAGTGTGATACATGTAGTAGTGATACGCTGTAGAACTACATTTAGAGGAGAGTAAGATTTTATATTTACCACATAAACACGACTAGATAGTTTTTTTTCGAAATAAAAGCAAATATTGACAGGGATTATGTGTTATGTTATGTTTAAGGCACAAAAAAGAAAAACGACAATTCAATTATTGTTCTACATCAATATGATGTAAAATAACAAATACTATGTATAATAATAAATATGCAAAAGGACAATATTCATCGCCACACAATTAGACATTTGTTGTGTGATCATTGATTAAATAGGCTATTTCATGAATAGATGTGTTAACTCCATAAGTTATAGGTGAATGTGATAGATTCTCAATTTTTGGCACCATATGTTCTGAATGATCTGTTGTAATGATTGATGATGATTGTTGATCTGGTGAAAGTGGTGGATTGTTAACACTTCGAGATGAATGTGAATTTACAGGGGTACGTGAATTATTATTATCCACTGAACTATGTCCACTGATAATCGAATTTCCACCTGAACATAAACCGTGTGATGATGTAAATGTAGGTATACCATTAGTTAAATCCAATGTTGTAATATGTGGGAGATTTGCTAGTAAATGATTATTAGTTGAAAAAAGGCAACTGTTATTTCCTATTAAATTGTTGTTGCTTGCACATGATTGTAAATTAATAGATTCCGGTATGAAATCAGGCGGGGGAGTTTGAATTAATCCAGAGGTTGGCAATAAATTAGAACAATTAGTTAAGAAAGATGAATGATCCGATGATAACATTCGATGGTTTAAACTTGAAATGTGAGTACTTCCGTTACATATAGGTTGTAAAAATTGACAAGACGGTAAACTTGAACAGTAGGTAGCGGAAATACCTACAGGAACAGAACTATAAATGGAAAAACCAATAATAGTTATGTATGTCGTAAGATTTTATGCAAATTAGTAACTCTCAACAATTTATTGGGATCTATGTGATTATTGTAGCCGTTTGTTAGAGACTGTGTGATATGGCTCAAGATCTGCCACAATGATGTATTTACATTCATTCTTTGTCTTCCTTTAGATTCCAAGTTTGTATATCACATAAAAGTTTTCTTATTATTTCACTAATTTGTATTTTTCTCGAATCGAGGCTTCGTGGTCTAATCTTTTCTATCATCACCAGTACTGGTACTACCTCTGTTACTTCGGGATTTGCGCTGACCATTTTATTTCACCGTACTAATTGAAAGTAGCAACTTCAACTGATGTAGACATTATCGGGTTCTACGCTACATATGACTCATTAACTCGACAAATCGTATTTGGATTTTCCTTAATAATCAGAATCCAAATTAAGAGTTACGAAAGTGGTCAACGACTTCATTCAGCAAATGGTAATTATTTTCACAGGAAGAGGTAAGTCGTATGTGCTCACGGTCAGATTTTTTGGAATGGACTTTGAATCATTTAATAACTTTACTAAATCAAACCTGTAGATTTCCAATAAAGTGATAAAATTAATTTCAGTTTCTTCCATGCTCTAATCTTCATCAAAATCTTTGTATATTTACATTATAAATGACCAAACTGAATGCGATTTATAATAGAATTCTTTTGTGTTATCACTTCTCTTATAATACTGCTGTTAATATATTTTGGTGCCCTTGGTTAACTCCATAGTGATTGAACTATAATAGTTTCGTATATACTCTATAGACAAATCTCATTAATAACAACGTAAGTATAAAAATTGGGATACGAAAGTATTTGGGGAACGTATATTTCAGACATATGGTAACCCAGATAAAATATATGTGAACTGGAATAGAAGAAATAGCCAACTTAGTGAGTAATAAGTGATTCAATCTTGAAACATGAAAGTAATAAAAGTATATAGACATATGTACTGCCATACATATTTCCCCAAAGTCACATAAATAAATGACAGAATACCTGAAAAGATTAAAATAAGCGTTAGAAGAAATAATGTAGGAGTTTAACAATACCGATTGTTACAATATCGTTGCCATTGTTGAAGCTAACATCATTAATGGGTATTCTTCAATTCGTTAGTTTCAAAAAATAGAGTTAACTTACGTATTAGTACACATATCTTCTTTAGAAGTTTCATAAAAACAGTTTTCCGATTGATCCTTGGGTATACGCATAGATCCCTAGAATAAATCCAAAAATGTGTATTGATAGTATTTGATTTCATTAAATTAAAAGGACTAGATTATTTTACAATATTTCATGTACATCAAATAATTATTTGGTAAAATTTTGAGATATTCTAGTTAAGAATAAAAGTATTGTAATGCAATTTATTATGGTAATTCATTAAACATGTGAACTGAACGAATTCATTGATTAGTCATTGTGTTATCAGAAAAAAAACAGTGACTGTTAGACTGCGCTATATGGAAAGGTGTAAGACTTTTTGATCGAAATCTATGAGATAATCGTATTGTTATTTCAAAAATTTATTCCTGATGATGTACTCATACTTTATTTCCCTTTGAATGTCGACTTTTAAGACTTTTTATAGTTTTATCTCTTGATACCTTTCATTACTTCCAAACTATATAGTTTGCGTTTAGTGTTTACGGTTGTTAATATAATTACTTCGATTTATTCATCTTTCATGTAGCGTTAAGTTCTGCTTCCTGTGTTAATGTGGAGTGTGGAACTTGGAGATACACTTTTATTTATGCGAAATCCTACGATCCTTATAAGGGATTTTCGTTTTCATGCACGTCTATGCATTAATTCGATCGCAAAATCAGTACTTGATTGAGTGAATTCCGGATATAATACATTCAGTTGTGCTCATCTAGTTCTACCTGCCTTAAATTGAACTGTTTCACTGGAATTCTTAGTTAGCGCATCATTCAGAATGATTCGAATTATCATTGTAGTAGAAAGATATTTTCTCATTTATTGACTGTAAACTAACGTTTAAGTATCGCATAAACCAGTATACAACGAACTAGTTGGTCGTAACAACTTACACAGGAATATTTATAGATTTTATTGAATATCACACAACTTGTATTCAGAAAGGCTATGACAGTAAGTGAAATTAGTCAGTACACAAGTAACTCAATATTTAGTTGATAAAAGTATTTTCAAGGAAAAATCGAACAATATAATTATTTTCCGTAATTCATTGGTTGAGTGTACATAAATCCGTAACTAGTTATTATCAACATTTATCCAACCATTCGTTTGAGTAATATTTAAAGCATGCAAATCTACCCCCAAGAGATATCTAGTTACTTGACTTGGAAGTATTTTTGTCGCGAAAAGTTTGACTTTATGTCTTATAAAGTAGATCATTTTCGTGACTAGTAGTTTATTCAAGTGAGTGTAAAGAGAATTTTCTTCACTATGTAAATGTAAAATACGATTGTTGAAAATGAAAATGTGTTTATGTAAATATTTGTTTTAAACATATCTTACCTAAACTCTTAAAGTAGCTCATAGGGTTTAATAGAACCACTGAATATTTTCAGGTAACTTTACGTGTAGAACTCTATGGAAAGCAGTATACCTTATAGATTTATTTTTTAAACAATATTCACTGAGATAGTTGTTCATTTTTTTCCTAATGCTGATGCGTCTGATAATATAGTAAAACTTTCTTTGAAATCTAAGACATTTCTAACTGTTAGTCTGAGTGAGAAAGCACCTATAGGTATTTCATTCAGGATTCACAAGTCAATTATTACTAGTGATCAGAGATTTCAAATGACATAGCTTTGAGTCTTAAACAACATATCCCATCCCTTTGTTTTCCTGTTCATTTGAATCTTACTGTTAACTGCTTTTGTATGGATATTTTCATTCTTCTGGTTTTCCACTTATTGATATGAAGTATTGTAAGTTCGAATCATATGCGTCTTAATGACAGTAACTCATGGTGTTATTGAAAAATTAGAACGACTCAGTGAACAAAATTTTCTTTTCGACTATATCATTTACTCAAGCTGTACAATCGTAATTATAGTTCATTCACAAATAAAATAGTCTTTTTAAAGATAGAAGGATGATTACATAAGCCACAAAAAGCGAGTGCTTTACAAACACATCTCCGAACATCATCTCGCGTGGCTTTCGGAAGGTGAATGTAAACCAATCAACAGTTCAATATTGAAACATCTTCTGGACTCTGGTCACATGGTTCCACCTTACAATTCTTTTAAAATCATCTGTACAGTCAGACGATTTGGTTCAAAAGGAGCGCGAATTAATAACTTATGAACTGCACAGGGGTTAGCAATCCATCTTTTCAAACCTGACCTTTGTGTGCTAATGAGACACGTGGAGGCAATAATTCTTCTTTGGCCCTGACACTTAACTGTCATTAACGGTAATTTGATATTATTACATCCTTCGAGGGTTCTTAATCTCCTTAATTTTAATTATTAGTTTCTATGATGTTCACATTTTGAATCTATTCTTCACCCTTCTCACACAATTGCCAAGTAGAAAATTATCCTTCTCACGTTTGATTTCGTTTTATTATCTCTCTTCAGTTCACGATTATTAGGCAACTTTCTTTGACAAATGATATGATGTAATCACCCTCCTATCTTTCAAAAGACTATTTCATTGGTAAATTAATTATAAATACAATTGTACAGCTTGAGTAAATGATATAGTCGAAAATTAAATCGTGTTCGCTGAAATGTCTTAATGTACATTTGACTTAGGTTTTAAATTGTGTGCTTTTATGTATTCAATTGGTAAATTATCTGTACTACAGTTTAGCCTAGAAGTCAAAAGCGCATCAGTTACGGTTTTGATTCTAAATGACAAGGGTTGGGGAAAATGTTACATACCATTCTTCTTAAAGTCAAATAATTAAAGTACACGTGTAATACACATCCTACTTCCTAAAACTTGTATTCAACCAGTTAACAGTTTTAAAATAAAATAAGAAGAGGTGTTTTTAATAGCATAACTTACCTGATCTGTACCATCGAAAGCATAACGAGTAAATGATTTATTTAAACTTGGATTATTTGAATAACACTGATATGGATCTTGACGATAATGCATATTTGGTGTATAAGCACGTGTTATAAAATCTGAATTCACTACACCATAATCTTGTAAAGAACTCCTTGATGGCTGTTTAGTACGATTACCTAAATGAAATAACAATTAACAACAATTGGTAGTAATAATAATACAAGAAGCAAGATTTATATTGATTTCATTTTTTTTCAGTGAACTGGGCAGCATAACTGGTGGTGTGATAAACATATTTTAAAATCACTAGCCATATGTGGAGGAATAGTCAAGTGAATAATCCTAATGTTAGGCATATAATATTAGGTAAAAATCGGTTAATGTGGTCTTGAACCTTCTATGGTTGGGGAAATGTGGATACGTGTTAAGTAGGCTGATTAACTAACTACTTCAGTTTGATACACTGATATACAGAAAAGTGAAGCCGTCCTAGTGGACGTTTCTGAGATAATTATAATTTATAGAGACTTTAGGTGATATCTATCAAAAATGCTCACAATAGTATATTAGTTTAAGCATAAGTATTCAAGAAGATATATACCATAAGTAAAACAAAATATCCCCAAATAATCTTAAGGTGAATTAGCATTTCATGTGTTTTATTCTTGTTTCTCACAGTATCCATAAATTTTCATGTAAATTTAACTGAATGTGAATTTTGCTAACATGAAGAAAAATGTTTGTTACATGTGAATTTTACAATTTCCATTTTGTAGTATACTCGACCCAAGTATACTGAAGACGTAATGTATATTTCCCTCCCTCCCTTCCCCCCCTATATATATATATATATATATATATATATATATATATCTTGTCCCACAAAATTTTACGATAAACGAATACAACATTCATCATCGTATAATAGATATTTATAATTGTAGATTGATATATCCAATTTAGCTAATTAGGTAGAAATGGTAAAAGTTATATTTATGTAGTTTTCATTATGGTATAGAACTTAAATAAGGACATGGTATAATTGTTTTTCTTTCATAAATCCTATACTAACAATTTACTGATTATAGTAATAACATTATAACAATGATATGTTAAATATATAATTTTAACTAAGTTTATGTACATGCACAGATTGTTTATATGAATATATGAGAGAATATCAGAAGGGGTTTTGAGTATATTTTACTAATTTGAATAATTGAGATCATGAATCAGTTGAAGCTAGACCATCATGAAAAACCTTAAAGCACTCACGCATGAAACTGATAGATACTGGGTTTAAATCTAGCGAGGCGGGATCGTGGATGCGCACTGCTAAGGAGTTCCACAATAGGACGAAACGGCCATCCAGTTCTTCAAGGTTTTCCATGTTGGTCTAGCTTCAATTGATTCATGATCTCAAATATGAGAGATTAGTTAAATAAATTTTTTTATTGAATCTATTTTCTTTTTTAAAAGTACTAATTTTGTATTAAAATTAGTTTTTGGAAACAGTAAAAAAAAGGAAAAAAAGAAAACATAAAACAAATCCAACATTTAACTAGTATTAAAAACTGTTACGATACTTTCTTTTGACTTTATTATTAAAATGTTTATTTATCTATTCATTGTTTGCCAGAATATTCAGAATGGTGTATTGAAAGTAATCAAATATTTCAATAATAACTTTCTATTTGTGATACTATCATATTTTATGTTAAGATCTTAAGTGAGATATTAAACCGATATGATCTTGAGTGAATTAAACATTTTTTTCAATGAGATTGTAGGTATCATTACCAAGATTTGATTTGATAATTTTGAATAAATTGAGCATTGGGTAGATTGTTATAAATAAATTATATATTTGTAATATCCTAATGAGTAGATATTACAAATATATTATTTATTTATTTTTTTCAATGTTTTTTTTTTATATCAAGCATTAGTGAAAACTATCGTCCGAGTTAGTGTTACACATAATTTGTTTAAATTCAGTTGTTTAGTCATATATGGAAAGAGGGAGGGAAAACAAGAAAGGAAGGACTATTATGCAGAGACCTATATGTTAAAGTAATGCCTAAGTAATTAATCAAAGCAACTTTCATTGATTTATAGTGAAGTAATAAGATCCAATTTGACAGGAACAGTTTTAGAAGATTTATGTAATGATGACGATGTTGAGTCGTCTGATTCTATTAAATGCCATAAACAAATAGATTGGTCTTTAGAACCACTAGTAATCATTACATTAGTTTACAATTCAATATCACGCGTTTAATTATCTTTGTTTATATGCTTACCTTTATTATAACGAAATCCACATACTCTTTGACGGCATATACACAGAAGTATTAATCCTACTATTAACAGGATTCCAATAGTGACCGCTGCACCGATGATAAACTGAATTGGAATATCTTCTGTAAACAAGAAATATATATACAAAGTATATTTCAGTGTTAAAAATTTCTCAATAAAATAGCATCAAATTTATATATATGCATATGAAATAATAACTAACCTTGATGACTGAGACGTATTAGTTTCCAATCCGATCCATAACCGTTCTTTACAGAACAATTATATTGACCGAAATCGCTCATCATGACATGTGCGATATGAAGAACAAGTACCACACCACCGATGAATTCTTCTTGTTCAAATTTATGACTAATTAAGTGAATATCAAAAAGTAATGAAGAAAATGAAGATAATTAAAATGATTGATAAAATAAACGGTTTAGAAAGTGCAATGAGAAAACAAAGTTTATCACAACCATATGGTATTATTAACTCAATACATTTCGAGCAGCCTCATAATGCATTATCTTGTAGATTGGTTTCTGTATGATCAAAAAATGATCGAATAGGATTGTGTGAGACAAGATTGTGAGAAAAAAGAAACATAAATCTTAAGACACTGGATAATTAGTCAATACTCTCAGAGTAAGTTTGGTTTCAGTACAGACTCCTTCAAACATTCTGAGAGGAGAAGGGTTACACATCGTAATGGTAAGGCTCCAAAATACCTAAGCATCTATCCTAGAAAACTTTCATGGTAAATCGCAAAGTTAAAAATACTCTTATGATCCGTTTTATTTGCGTTTGTCAGTAGGAGAGTCATTCTTACGTAGAATTCATGATTACCCATCTTTATATACATATATTTCCATATGCATGTGGCAGAGGTTTCAAGATGTGATATTATTTACATGCTGTTTCCACTTTTAATAGAGCACGAATATTGTATTATTCTCTTAAGTCATACTGTTCTGCCATTTGAACAATCCCTGTTTTCAAGATTAGTTTTTTTTAATTATAATATGGAATTAAATCCAAGCAGGAAGAACGGTCATCTAGTTTACAAATCTGGTTCCTATAGATTTCAACTACCTTTTATGAATGTAAGCCGTTAGTAAATACTGCCCTGAATTTAGAAAAGCTGTCTTGATACTTGATAAGAAAAGTGAATTATTGTTTATTTGGTTTGGTTAAGACATTTTGTGAGATATAGAATTAGAAATAGCGTTTCGTTTATTAGTCATAATATATCAAAATTTGATACTGGATGGATTAATAAAAGCTTATTTTAGATAGTTAGAATTGACTACTTGTAAGTAGTCTATCATTTTAGCTTTGGGATCGTCTGAGGTAATTTGCCTGAGATCTCATGTAAAATAAATTTATTTTATCCATTTATCAGTAAAACATTAGTCATTGAAGTTCGTCCTATGTACTTTATCAAAGTATGCATAAAAGTTTCTGCCATCGGTTGAAATTCATTTAACATAATTAATTTTTGACTCAAGATATCAGTTAAATACGGGCATTTTCATGTCTGAATTGTCGTTTTTTCATGGATGTTGTTTTTCATATCACTTCTCTTACTATCTTTGTTCCGTCTTACCCCGTATTTGTCTAGTTGACCTTTCATCTTTGTATAGAAATATTCTTAACAAGTATATGTGTGATAAGATTGTTTGAAATGCATTGCGCCAACACATCGCAAAGTTATGGTAATCTTCGTCTTCTTATTACACTGTCTGAATTCACTGATACACGTTTTAGGCATACTGTAATCTTTAACCTGAAACAACTCGATATATTATGTAGGTATTATCAAAATTATTGTAGGGTTAATAATGGTCTCAACATATTTTTTTAAAATGAGCTAGAATAAGCAAAACGTTTGATTTAATTTTTATGAAGACTGTCAATAAAGGTCACTTTTATAGAATGACACAGGAAAACTATTAGGTTTTTCCATTGCACAAAGTAATGAATGGTTCATTGAAGGGAATGAAAATCCAGCTTTCTAAAATTAAGGAGGTATAAACAACATCCATTTTATTGTTTAACTTACTTTTTTGTATAGTTCTTATCTATAAACATACTAGATATCATTAGATCATTGAAGTATGATTGAACTCAGTGTCATTACACCTGAAATATTGGTATCCCAATAATTATCAAGCATATATACATAAGTCAACTTAAAATCTGGTGTTTTAATCCTTAACACAATTTTGTTGATCATTGTCCCTATTAATTGTTGAAACTTAGTGATTAATTTTGATATCTCTAGATTTTTAATACAAATTAAACAGAATAAATTTATATGGGATAAATTATAAAATAATGCTAATGAGATAATATTGTGATGTGTGTTACTGATGTCGACAAATATAAGTACTATGTATCATCAATCGAAAGTTAAATGCCTGGCGGCAGAAGGTTAAGAAGATCGAAGAGAAAAGTACGAGAATGGAGAATGATTGATATAGAAACGAAGGAACAATCAAGTCTGAGATAATTGATTGACATTTTGAAAATGAATTATTCATTGTATGGTTATCAGATTTTATCAACAGATTCTGTTTTCAGCTATATTTGGTACAATATTGTTTTAGTTCAGTTTAATAATGAACTTACTGTGAATCTGGCTGAATTGGATTACCATTGAAATACCAATGCGTTTGACCAGAAGGTGGAAGTGGAACTGAATTCACTGTACAACGCAATCTGGCTGGTTGACCTAAATAAGCATGAACTATTGGATTTGGTTGAATACGAGGAGGTTCTTCAGTGAAATAAATTAGAAAAATAATAAAAAACTAGTTAATCAATTTGTAATTGATTTTAATTTCAACTTAAAATTATATGAGACAAATGAGTGACTAAAAGATTGTGGCGCCACAATGGGGAACTAAATATTGAAGTTTCAATTAAAATTAATACTTATTTCAGAAACATGTGACAATCTGTATATTTTCTTTAGATCTACTCAAAGAACACACCATTAAAATAAAAATTTTCACAAACATTCAAAATATTGTAAAGTTTTGATGTATTTGTTTTTGGGTTATTGGAACTAGCTACTAACTAGTAGGATTAATGACGAAATCTTCCCCAACTTGTTAAGTTAATTGCTATAATCAAAAACTTTATCATTCAGCAACTCAAACAAGAACTGTATTAACACACTTTAGTTAAAGTGACCAACTAACAAATAATACTAAGACATGGAAAACCTAAATGACAGTATTCATCAAATATTAATTGCTAAACATTATCAATCTAAATAACCTTTAAACTCTAAATAATATAGTAAATGGGTCATTTTAATTGTTAGGAAATATGACTACCGGTTTTATTACCATGGATACAAATGAAATATTCAAGTTCAATTATTATCTAAATCCAGTTATCTATTTGTGACTGAAATGATGCAAACAAATGGTTATCTTGAATTTTTATTGTTAATATTAAAGTGGTAAATTAATTATGCAAGAGAAAAGAAAAGTGAAAATCAACGTATTCCTTTGTTGTCAAACTGTAATTTAGTATAGAATATGATATTTGACTATTTTATCAAAATATTAGTCATGTCAGTTTAAATTCACTTAGTGTTGTATATTAGTACCATCCCATTGTTATTTAGAATTGCAAATGATCAGTCTCTTGTTGACATATATGCATCCTGTGCGAATTGCCTCGATATTGCCTGAAGTCATAAGCTTTATGAGCGAAAATCGATAGTTGCTAGCAGTGGAATCCAGGACGCACCTTTCCTCCTATTTGGGACTCGTCAGCTGAATGCATATGCATCTCAAAGATGATATCCACTCTGATGTTCACTCTAATCAAACAATACCAAGTGAATTTAAAATTCACCCCATTGCACAAGCAAGTGGTTATCATGACTCAGGAGCTAAGTGGATAACGCGATGGAGTTTGAAGCTAAAGGTACTGGGTTCGAATCCCAGAGTGAACATCAACTCTGAGATGCAGGTACATCCACCTGACGAGTCCCAAAATAGGACGAAACGCGCGCCCTAGTTTCCACTGCTAGCCACTAACCATCTTTGTTTAGAATACAGAATTTAATTATTGATTTCATTTACTTACGTAATCAAAATGGCATATGAATCAACAAATTGAATTCATATTGTCAACTTCACAAAAAGAACTAGTCAAATAAATAGAGCAATCACAGTTTCTTGAAATATAAACTGTGATATCAAACTGTAAATAAACTAGTATACAGTTTATGTATAAAAATTATTTACGTTTCTTTTGTATAATTAATCATTAATTAAATCTATAACACAATGAAAATAACTTATTATTCATCTGATAATCTATGCGATGAATACAATAGTCATTGCAGATAATGACATTCATATTCATGTCATTCATCTATCAATTTATACTAAGACAATCTTCCAATTATTTATTTCTCTTTTTTTATGCATCTCTTTTTTCTTCAAATAAACATTACCATGTAAGTGAAAAACAAACAAACAAGAGAAACGGTAGCATATTTTAAATTAACAAAATTAATTCTGTCAATCTTTTGCAGAATATACGCTGGAAGAATAACAACCTTCAGTCGATACAAAATAGTCTTTCCCCCCAAAGTTGGCATTTTTTTAAAAAAGTTTTTTCTTTGAAAAAATAGATCTATAATGTATTTTCTTTCAATGAAATATATTTCAATTAGTTAGAATAGTATAATCTAAGCATACACTTATCAGTATTATCTTAATGTTCAATCACAGCATGTGTTGTTTTCTTCTTAATGCACTAATATAGACGATACTTTTTTAGGTTTCACTTTTACTATTCATTTTTTTTATTAATTTTTTATTTAAAACTTATTACAGAGTGATTCATATAGTGAACCGAACTGATTAGCTAACCGATTTATTATCTATATTGGTTTGTATTTTCTTTAACAGAATATTTTGTTTTACAGCTTGTTAGAAGCAAATAAAATTGATTGATGCAAATTGATTTTTGAATTGTAACAAGTGTTAGTCTATGATAAATGATGGTTGTTAAATAGTGTTCATCGATTAAAGAATGAAATGTAATCGTGGTGTCTGCTACTGATGTTGACAGATGTAAGTAGTATGTAGAGGCAATCGGAAGTGGAATGCCTGACAGCAGAAGAGTGAATTAAATCGCGCAGAAATGAAATTTGGAAGTAATCAGAATGAAAACAGAATCAGGAGAATCATGGAGTATGTAAAGGACAATACAAAGAAGATGTGCAAATGATGTATTTGATGTATGGTTTTAATAATTTAGTAAGCATCCTGAGCTAGTCACTACGTAGTGACTTACTGGAATAAATATGCAAAAAATATGTACGCAGCGTCTATTCCCAAATACTTTCTCACTGTCAAAAAAAGTTACGTAGTATCTGAGTAATCACTTAAGAGGTATGGTATAGTTAGATGAAATCATCATGTTGTTTTAGTTAATTTTAGAAGTATGAGAAGCAATAAATTTGTTAGATAGGAAGTCCAAACTTTCAGAACTTAAATAATGTTGGCAACTATACTACTTAAAACATATATCGATATGTTTCACTGTAATCAATCCTTCGCTTTTCATATTATGAAAAAGTAACTGGGAAATAAATTGTATCTGTTAACAACAGAAAACGTTTAAAAAGAATAGTTATGACTATATAAAGCAGACATAGATTAGAGAAGCGTTAATATTTTAGGCAACAAGGAATAAAAAGAAAAATAATTATTATTTGTAGGCGGGGAAGAACTCACAAACTATGTAATCTGTTACTACTACAAGAAAAGGTATTTCCGAACTTTATATATTTAAAGCTTAATTCATTAATTAATTAAAAAGAACACAACAATAATCATAATGATATTGGAATGTCACTACATATTTCATTGTACTTATAAAATTACTTTCAACATTATTTTTGTAGCCAAATGAATAGATCTAATATTTCATATAGGTTATTGGAAATCGATAAAATTCCCTACATCTAATTTTTAGGTGTCTCTTTTTTCTTTCAATGTTCAAGAAATCAATGATCTTGGAACAATCCAAATAAACTTCTTTTTTAATCAGCTTTATTTACAATGGAATTATGATTGAATGAATTATGATAATCATTTTTTTTCTATTTAATTACTTAACCGAAGGTTGATTTTATGATTTTCACAACAGTTTTTGTGTTGTCAAAAATAGAAAAATGTAAAGTTTTACCCAAGAAATGAAGAAAAAAAATGAATATTTTTCTATCATAAATGTTTCATTTTTGTCTGTATTTTCCTAAGGATTCCAATCTTAACCTTCATCAGTTTCAGTAGACTAATATATATATATATATATATATATATATATATATATATATCCCATACACAGATATACAAATATTTAATGCCAGACCATAAATCATATATACATATATATATGTACATTCTGTTCATTTACATAGTTCACCTACTGATATATTTTGTTAGTAGATTAATTGTTGTTAGTGTATAGTTTATATTATTTTAGTTAAGAATATCATTACTTATATTCATGAGGATAGAAAATCAGCTACGGATATATACAAGTTTATTTGTCCACAAAATAAGTAGAATATCCATTTCTTTACAAAGTTTGTGTAACATTTTAAATATAAATGCAAAAATCTTTTTGTCTGAATCTTAGATGATTATATAAGAATTGTGGACTGAAATATTCCGTTATTCCGTATCTTTATAGTTCTGTTTTCTTGATTAAAAATACAGGACAAAGGAATAATGTTTTAGAACAAGCAGTTTTTAATTATTTCTTTTTGGAGTTCAACAGTTTTACGTAGATAAATACCGTTTTAAAAACCACTTCACAAACATCTAGTAAAGCACAGTATTAAGAACTTAGTCCAATTCGTTGACAAGATTAAAAACATAAACACGAAAGGTCAAAAGATGGTGTCCTTTGACGTAACGTCATTGTTCATAAATGTCCTATTCAGAGAGACTGTAGAATATATTTGTGAACATCTTAGAGAACAAGATATAGAAACTACAATCCCTGTGGAGACCATCAAAGAATGACTACTAAAATGTACTATGAATGTACATTTCAAATTCAATGGTGAAATCTATAGACAAGTAGGTGGTGTCGCGATGGGTTCACCCCTAGGTCCCATATTGGCTGATATTTTTCTCTCAAAACTGGAAAACGGCCTACTGACACGACAGATTGAAAAGTTTTCATTTTACTGTCGATAGATAGACGACACGTTCATCCTACATAACGACTATACTGACTTCATGGAGACACTTCAGCTATTCAGTACAGTTCATCCGTCCATAAAATTCACATGTGAGGAGGAAAGTGGAGGTAGAATAGCTTTTCTAGATGTTCTACTTACTAGGAGAAAAGACGGTTTATTAAGGAGAAACATAAATAAGAAAACAACGTGGATGGGTCAGTATACAAACTTTCTTAGTTTTGTTCCTCTACAATACAAAAGGGACCTGATTAAGACCATTACACTAAAGAATCAAGACCATTAGCTATCAAGATACGGTCGAAGATGAAACAAAAGCTTTATACACGACCCTGAGAGAAAACGGATACCCGGAGAAATTTATAAATAAAAACATAGCTAATAAAAGAGAGCATAAAGAATTTTTAACTGTGAATAAAAAGCCTCTGTATATACTTCTACAATTCAGAAGTGACTCACTCAGTGAAATGTTAAGACTGAAACTAAAAAGATCAATCCAAAGGACTTTTAATGCATGTAAACTACAACTAATGTTTTTCACACGTCCAATGATCACGCCGATGTTGAAAGATAAATTGCCTAGACTAGCCACTTCTTTCTGTATCTATCACTTCAACTGCTCCTGTGGGGCAAATTATGTAGGCAGATGTTCTAGGAATTTGTATACTCGGGCTCGTGAGCACCTCCCAGTGTGGATAAGCAAAGGTGTAGTCAAAACAGCTCCATTTAGTTCAGACGGGACATAGAGCCAATATGGAGCAATCTTTCACAATGATATATCGTGTTAATAGCAGTCTACCTAATTCCGTCAGACTGAGAATCCTGCAAACGGCTGAGGCAATTGCTATTCGGATCAGAAAGCCGGAGCTTTGCATCCAAAAGAAATATGTCCAGCCTCTCATTTTACCCTGGCCAACTAGTTAATAATCAATTTTATAATATGGTGACGTTAATTTAATTAATGTTCATTTTTATATCCTAAACTTATTTTATCTACACATCTTACCATTGTTATTATTATCACATTTACTAACCTTTTAGAGAAATTTATTCAACATCCACTCCTATCTACTATATCTGACCTAATTCATATTATTTTACATATTACGTAATTTCTGATTTGTAATCCCATTGTTCTATCTCACCCCCATGTCAACTATATATATTCTGATAATTTACCGTACGATTTTATTTCACCTATAAACTGATTCAAGTTAACACTACATATTAGTCATCCCAACTTTAAATATTGTAAGGGATATGCAATATAGCCCGGTAAAATATATGTACACCAATAATGATAGAGGAGATTATTGATATTGTTAGAAAACAGTATGATTTATGAAAGAATTTTAACATTCGGTTTTATAGTGAAGAAAACATTCTGTTAAATATCTCTTAGTTTTAGTTCCTTGAAATTAATTCAAGTCGTAACTGAAATTATTTCTAGATTCTACAAAACCTTTCCGAAAGTTATTTTATTAAATTTTGATCGTTTATGTCACTAGGTGGGCTATATACTACAGTGATTTCCTAAAGCTCTGGTGTAAATCTATGAATCCCACTATCTTATATGGTGAGGAATGACTTTATCGATTGGCGTCCAGTTTACAAATGAAATTGATCATCTGTTGGAAGCAATTACATGAATTTATCAACTAGATATATCTGTTGTTTATATACACCTAACTGCATGATATTGTAAATGTGTGATTAACGGAAGTTGAATACTACTGAGATCATGTTAAACAAATCCTACTGTTACTCTAGTAGTAAATAATTCATATAAAATGCTATGTATTTATATGTCAGTTTGATTTATTTCGCGGGTCAAATAAATTCACTACGTGACGTCGGATTTGGGGTTTTCAGTATAAGATACAAGTAAGTTAGGCATTTGTGAACATAACACAATCGAGGAAAATAGTAGTCAGTCAATTGACTACCAATAACACTGAATGTAAGTGGCATCACAAAATCAATTGGATGTTTAAAAAATGTAAACCACAGTTCAGAAAAAGCAGATAGATAATGAAAAACACTTCGGAATTGTCATGACTTTTCTTGTCTTTCCTCAAACGTTTTGTTCATGGTTCATTTTATTATTATGGTTACTTCAGAGAAAGTTTACCGGCTACTTCAAAAAACATAAGAAAACATATATTGCAGTTTGCTTTTAACTGCTCTCTCATTATGTCTTAATTTCTTTCCTTGTGTTCCCATCTTTGGAAAGATAAATTATTTTAGCTTGTATTCAACATATCGCAAACATAACTCACTGTACTTTTAGTAATACAATAAATGTTACTTTACTAATAATAAATGATGATTGGCACTAGTTTAGTAAAAGTATCAAAAATTTAATCACAGACGAAAACAGAAGATTCAAATGGTGGTAATATAAGATTAGCTTTTAAGGAAAAACCAGCTTATCAAATATGTAGAAATTCCCTGTTTAAAGCTATTTAAAACTAGAGTTGTATTACTGAATATCAGTAGTGCAATAGTAGATTTCCATTAAAATTTTACCACAAAATGTGATCTGTATAACAATAATAACAGCCTGGTATGCAGAGATGGATAGTGGCTAGCAGTGGAATCCAGGACGCGCGTTTCGTCCTATTTGGGACTCGTCAGGTGGATGTACCTGCATCTCAGAGTTGATGTTCCCTCTGGGACTCGAACACAGTACCCTCGCTTCAAACGCCATCGCGTTATCCACTCGGCCACCGAGTCCTGATAGCCACTTGCTTGTGCGATGGGGTAAAGTTTAAATTCACTTAGTATTGTTTGTTTGGATCTAAGCATGAATTACTATGGTTACTTTTTATTAGTACTGTATTATGTTCGACATAGTTGTTGAGACACTTTTTTGGAGAAAAAACGAACTTATTTAGATAGAAAGTCAATATTTGTAGTCTTTTTTAACAATTCAACATCAATTGAATTTATAATTCAAACAAATAGAGCAAACTCACTTCTTTTAGCTATATACATTTGTTTAGATACAGGGGGGAATTCTGGTACAAAAGCTGTACATATATACGTCCCAAAATCTTCTTCTTTTAAATTTTCACGTTTCAGTGATACACTACGTGAAAGAACTTCTCTACCACCTTCACGTCTCCATTCAATATGCGGTGTTGGATTACCTATTGCTGGACAATCCATTAAAACATCTTCACCTGGAGATGCTGTGAATAGTAAAGCTGAAGCTTGATGAAATTGAGGTCCAACTAAAATAAACAGAAATAATGATGCTTCTGAATACTTATCGTTTATATGTTAAGACTGAATAATCTGCTTTCTGTTACATTCGACTTGAATATTAATAGCAATAGGTTGCATCATTTATTTCACTAGAAATTATTTTATAAAAGTAGAAGAAACTTATACTTTCTCAAATCATACTACTCATTAGGATTAGAATTAAAGGAGTACATCAATTAGTAGCGATGTATTTGTTAGCAGCATCATCACTTTATTCGAGACTATATATGGGTATTTTTGATTGACAGCTAGGAATGTTTTAATGGAGTGTAGTCAAACACCAAATATTTTCTAAGCTGATAAGTTTATAAAATTATCTCAGACAATAAAGCAAATATGAACTTTCTGAATATTCATAAAAATCTATTGAACTGGCATATTAAGTCATCAATTTTTAAAAAGATATCTCATTCAAAATTTCTTTGCACTCTGTAGTATTTTCTTTATTTATTTTGTACTCTCACTGTTGATTTGATTTTGATTTTTCACATAAATTTTGATTATTTAAACTGATGAAAAATTATTTATTTAGCTGTTCCTAAGATTTAATACCACTCATCGAAGGAACTCTAGACTATTGATCAAAACTTTAGTGGCTTAGATCAAATGTTAATTAATATTTCCTTGCAACTTTTCACATCGTTGCATAATAATATTTTCGATTGTGAAATCGTGATTAATAGTAGTAGCGTACAGGAAACTCTGGACATACGTTTTGTGCTATTTGGGACTAATCGCGAAGGTCTACATGCAATCTTTAGAGAACTGCTGCTCTGTGGTTCAGGGTCTCCTACTGACTACCTTTAACCACTACTTTACATTTCATTATAATACATCCTATGTTGAGTTACTTAGAGTAATGGCCACAGTACGACCTGGTCTGTGGAATTCGGTCAGCACCAAGAAGGGTTTGACATGCATAACATTGGTCATTACTTAGTGAACAACAGTTGTAAATACAGATTGTATATGATAGAAAATTATAAAATCTGCATATCGTCTTAATTTCAAGGAGTTTGGTTTAGCTTCCTTACCATAATGTTCTGTAGAACTGTAATGAATATTATCTGTTAATGCAATGAGTTGTTCGATTATAATGGAATTGTTAATAGAGTAAGCTGATTTAGAAAATATTCGGTACTGCAAATTATTAAACCATATATTTCCATTTCGACATGCGATCATTAGTAAGCATAAGCTATATATAATTAAATGGCAGCACTGTGATATCTAAACTAAATAGTCAGTGAGCTGACATTTATTGGCTGTTAACTTTTAGTCAACATTGGGTATATTCTAAAATGTCAAGTTATACTATCGTGGTAAATTATCATTTGTTTTTATCTAATAATAACATTATTATATAGAAGTAATAAACCCACATTTAACTTTTATTGTTGTTTCAGCAACTCCTTTTTTATTTGAAATCGCAATGCACCGAAATACAGATTGATGTAATTCACGTGTTAATCGGAGACGATACCATGATTCGGCGATATTTTCAACTTGACGTCCATTTACATACCATCTAAAATAATCAAAAAATATTGTAATATTACTTTTGAGAGAGCAACAAAGAATAAATAAATCTGATTCCTTGAAATCTAACTGCATACACCTCTTCCAACTTTTTAAATCACTAGTTATATTTTTATCGTGGGTCTTTGCTATGACGTATTTACGTCCTCACTAAATTCAGTAAAAAATCCAGCGATATTATGGACTAATTTTGTGTTGTAGCCTAACTATATTTAGTCTTTTCCAAGATAGTCATCGCCTGTTAGTTAGGAATTTGGTTGTGCATGTGTAACACATGTATCATCACCTCAGTCAACAAAAGTTGGACAACAGATGAACCATTTCTACTTAGTAGACAAAGCTTAATGCAAGATTACTTCCATCATGATTTGAAACCTGACCAATATATTTTATTTTGATGAATCATGTTTCACAAACAAATCAATCATTTACCAAACTGTTTGGTTGAAAAAATCATTTTATAGAATAATACTTTAATTTTTTTTACAGGAAACATTTGGTAAAATATCATACTTTCTTTTAAAAAATTTGTAAAAGATAAAATTAACAGATGGTTACACCGGAAATTATAATTGTTTCAATATCCATCTGACTATATATATATCGTCTATCACTTTTATAACCTTAAAACTATCCTAACAAACCCTATATTTTTATCAATCTTTTTCTTAGATAAAAATGTATAAAAATAGCTAAGCATAAGAGAACAATAACTAAAATAGTAGTAACTAAGTAGTTTTTGTTGTTGATGTTGTTGCTGCTGTTAGTTTCATGAATAAAACTATGTCTGAAAACATAAAAAAAATGATGGATATAATTTAAAGAAATAACAATAAAACAATAGGTAAGCAATAACAACTACCATTATTAAATTGATATAAAATAAAGAAAATAATAGGTAATCTCTCGGTAACTTTATTTTAGTTAATGTATCCAATCATTTTATCAATACAGTTAGTTTGTTTTTTTCATTTTATTTTTGGCATAGAAAATATTTTTATTATTTAATTTTAATGAAAGGATAACATTTCAAAAATTATTTTAAAGAAACAAAAAAACACAAAAAATAAAGAAAAAAGTGTAAAGTTGATTTAAACAACTTGTTCAATATTTAATGAATAACATAATGAATATGTAACATTTTAAATTCACTTAGTATTATTTGTTTGAATCTTCCCATTGATGTTTAGGACTACAACTGGTCAGTCTTATATTGGCATATGTGCATACTGTATGCATTGCCTTGATATAGCCTTATTTCACAAGCATTGTAAGGAAAGATGGATAGTGTCTAGCAGTGGAATCCAAGAAGCGCGTTCCGTCCTATTTGGGACTCGTCAGCTGGATGTACCTGCATTTTATCCATAGAGTTGATGTTCAATCTGAGATGCAGTTACACCCAGCTGACGAGTCCCAAATAAGACGAAGCGCGCGTCTTGGATTCCACTGCTAGCCACTATCCATCTTTGCTTACTATGTGCCATTTTGTTTTAATTTAACCATTTTAATGATTAAGAAAGAATAATGTTTTTTATAGAAAAAAATGTCTTTCTAAACTATTATCAAACAAAAAGAAGTGACAAATAGACTATTCACTTAAATTTTTTTTAAAAAAAAGAAATATATTGAAAAAAGTATGTTAATTAAAACAAAAAAATTATAGTCCTTAAAAACTTAATATTTAATTTAAAACACTTTATTATTATTATGGTCTCATTTTCATTTATATATATCAGGTGATTCTAATATATACCTGTATGGTTAGGTAAGCTAAATTTCGAATATTAAATAAGAACTACTAATTTATTTCTTCATTAGGTTATATTAACTTTTGCCAAAAACTGTAGAAGTCCATTAATATTCAAAAGTTATGAAGAACATTTTTAACAAATAAACAATATCAAGTGAAGTTAAACTTCACTTTATTGCCTAAGTAATTGGCTATCAAGACTCAGTAGATAAGTGGATAATGCGATGCTGTTTGAAGAGAACAGTACTGGGTTCGAGTACCAGAGTAAACATCAAATCTGAGATGCAGGTACATCCAGATGACGAGTCCTGAATAGGACGAAACGGGCGTTCTGGATTCCGCTGCTCTCCATTATTCACCTTTGACTATAATATTTCCTACAGTTTTTAAATTTTTGATCATTCATTATATTTAAATTAAAGATATAAATCCAGTACTTTTTTTAAAAAATTCAAAGAGATGACTGCAAAATTAACTATTCCAACCAGGTAATATTTTGTAATTAGATGCTTGTTAAAATTTGATCGAAACTAAGACTAATGAAGAAAGTGTAATTTATTGATATTAGTAATAATACAAATATAATAAATATGATAACTGTCTTAAATTGGAACTTGATTCACTGTTTCTTTAGGTCACATAGCCAACAAAATAAAACAGAAGTTGAAAATTCCTTATGTTACAGTCTATGATATATTTTTTATGCAGAATACTTAACCAAAGTGGTTTTAGAGAGATTATATATACAACTCAAAGATTAATTTTACCAATAAGCTTATATCATTCGTACAGCTCTTAAAATTTTTTTAAGTGAACTAGTCAACTGCTTCTTTCTGTTGTAAAGTTAACTGATAATATGCATCTGCACACATTCTTCAATTAATGGTTAACAACTAAATGGATTTTATAAAGTTCAAGATTGAAAATACCGTTAGAATTAATATGATATGAATTGTGAATTCTCTGTCTGAAGCAATTAAAAGTGAAGATTAATAGGATTAACACACAAATTAAATACACTAAGATAATGGTGCTGACAATGAAAAACAAGAGAGCGGTAGATTAAGCTATAAAGTCGCTTACTCCCAGAAGAATGAATCTGGTCTTCCATGTGCAGTACATTCAACAGTAATAATGTCATGTTCCATAAATTGATTGTCAGGTCGTGAGGGTCGTACTTGTATACTTACAACAGGAGCGTCTGAAAAAATGAGTAAAACAATTTTTATATTGATTGGTTAGTTAGTCACTTGAAATTCATAAAAATGAAATTGACATGAGTTGTTTCGATGCTAAGAATTATCATAAATAAGTCTCAGTATAAGCTTATTATCACATTAGAATGGAATTAAATTTGTATACTTCTCTACCTGCTGTAGCTAGCATTCATCATTAAAACTTTATGCTGAAGTAAACAAGCGCTATACACTAGAGCTTAGTTTAATCATTAACTTGATTATTTCTCTTTTAGAACGTGCGTTAGCTCACGGTAGTCACAGATCCAGGAAATTTCGCAGTATTCAACGTAACTAAGGCTTTGAGTGATGAAAAGTATACAGTCAATGAGATGTTTAGACCGCCGACCGTGTACTACCATATATTCGAACAGTACTTTAAACATTTTAGATGAAATAATAGTATATTTGTTGTGATAACTCGGTGACTACTAAACTGAGTCTATTATTTTCAGATTAAAAGCAAATTTCTTTCCCAAAAAATGATAAATAAACTTGATCAAACTGATCATTTGTTTGCTTAATCGATCCTCAAATCTTGATCAGATAGATTACAGAAGATAATATCACTGTAAAGACCAATCATTAGTCATAGTTAGAAATTAGAACCGTCATACATATATTTTATATGAATATTCGTCAATATCTGAACGAGCAGTTTAACAAAAATTGGGAGCAAATTATAGAGAAGACATTATTTGTAAAGATCATATTTGATATAATCTCAACGATTGAAATTTAAATAATTACAATGTTTCGTCCAGCAAACTTCTCTGGACTTCTTCAGAGTAAGATTTTATTTCTTAATCGAAACAGGCCTAGTTTTCTCGCCACTCTACATACGTAATAAGGCGGATGTTTGCATAGTCACTAAAATGTCAAAATTTATGACGAGATTATTGTCTAACAAGAAATATGAAATATAATCTGTAGTATAAATAATACAAGATATATATTTCCGTTGAAAACATGGAACTTACAATGTACTTCGATTTTTGTCTGAGCTGGACGAAGTGTGTGCATTTCATATCCAGTATTTTCTGCTCTACATTCAACAAGTTTGCCATGATGCAATTTATTTAAATGTGCCCTCATTGAACTAGTTGCATCGACTCTGAAAAAGAACGGTCGATATCAGGATAAAGTCACTTATTTCAAGTAAAATGGGAAGAAAATATTTTATTGGAGGATATTTTTATGGAACTTAAGACGTCATATAGTTATCAGTAAAATTCTTTTCAAATAAGTAGTTTTAAAAATCAAGTAAATTCATGATTTAGATTAAAAGTGTATCCAATTATTATTAATTTGCGGTTTGCTTAGGCTAATTTTATCTCGTCCATTCTAAAATTACTTTCCGTCTATCTGTTTTTTATTTTATTCATCTTACTTCCTGGACCGCCCATCAGCACTCTCCATCCAACTATGTCCTGAGCAATTCTTTCCAGTTGTTTCCAGGTGCTATTTATCCTTTTCATATCTGCTCCCGTTTCTCGATGTAGTGTGTCCTTCGGCATTCCTCTTTTTTGCTCCCCTTCACGATTCCAAGTTAGGGCTTGCTTCGTGATACAGTTTGGTGACTTCCTCGATGCATGTCCTATCCACTTCCAACGTGTTTTTCCTAATTTCCTCTACAGCTGAAAGCTGGTTTTTTCTCTCCCACAGAAGACTGATGCTGATGATATCTAGTCAACGGACATTCAGTATCTTGAGTAGACAATTGTTTACAAATAATTGCACATTTTTCATGATTGTTGTAGTAGTTTTCTACGTTTCAACTCCGTACAGTAGAACTGTCTTGACGTTCGTATTGAAGAATCTGACTTTGATATTGGTTGACCGTTGTTTCGGATTCCATATGTTCTTTCATTGGAGGAATGCTGTTCATTTTATTCATTACAGTCTTTTAATTCCCTACAATTATTGCTTAGTACATCCTGTAAGTTTTCGAATTTCAAGGCAATTACTACCTTAACTCCTATATGCTTTCAATATCTGTTTTTCAGGTTCCCTTCTTATGTTTATTCATAAATATGCGTAATATATTGTTATCATTCCAGTTTTTACATTCAGCACTATCTGCTATTTAGAATTATTTTGTACTTCAATACAAATATGGTTATAAGCAGCCAAGGATATACCATGTAATTAAATTATTTCACATCATTCTACCTCGGTTGTTATTCTCGCTTTATTTAAATTTATTAAGTGAACTGATTATACGAAACGTACTTGCTTAAGTAATTTTCCCATATTGAATAACGTTAGACATTTGGTTCACATGTATTACTTATGTTAATACATTGCAGATAGTTGTCAATTAAGAAAATAATGAAAGGCAAGTAGCACTTAACACCTATTTTGTCCCAAAGTATGGATCGTGAACAGTGTAAATTCACAACTCCAAGTTGCTTTTAAGCTTCAGTTTTGAATTTTCGGAGACTTGGTACATAACCAAGAAACGTGAAGTCATTCGGGTCAGGTGTGATCTTAACGTTTGATTTCTCTAGCTGACCTCAAGTCTAGGTACAAACCGTCTATAGATGAAACAAAGTCTCCATAAGTTATGGATATGATGGACAAGTACTTAATCGTTTAAGTGCCAGGAATATATCAAGTTGATTTTCTTTCACTCGTCCGTGGTATGTAATCACATCTTAAAAAGTAATTATGTAGCTTATTCAATTCGTTATATCTATCGGTCTTAGATGATTGGAAGTAGAAGATTACAAATGCATTGACGAATCCAACTGCTAATCTGACTGTGAATAAATCATGTAAAACATAGTGTATTCATGTATCATTCTGAAATACCTTCAGGGTCAAATAAATCCTTGTCCATTCTCGTAAAGTTCTTACGTGGGTCATTCAATCTACGCGTGTCTAACACCGAGTACCAACTCAGTTAGCCGTTTACGTAGATGCAACATTTATCAAGAAAATTCTAGTTATGTTATTTTGAATGACTAAATTGTAGATCGATTTTTTAAAGTTCCATAAGCAAGCTTGGATTTTTGAAATCCTAAATACCAGAAATGAAACATAAATTAATGAAACAAAACGATGGTTGGGATACCTCGCTGATTGACCGTAATTTAAAATATGAATTCCTAAACTAAATAGAATGATTTGAAGTTATCTTACTCGTCAACAGACTTTAATCCATCGAGTTAGTTGTAAGGTATAGTGGGTCTGTAGTGATTAGAATTTTCAAACTAAGGCAAAACAATTATCTACTGCCTACTAATTTTTATTAGTTCTCAGTTTGTGATGGTAACTATCTTCATATAAATTAAAGAATAATAACTGTAGAAGAATAGTTTTTATGCCTAAAATGATTTTCAATTATACTGGATACATAAACCTACAAAGTACATAGAGTAAAAAATAACAACCATATTTACATTTTAAATCCATATTTTCACCTTTCAAAAAAACCCAATTTTTTTTTCAAATTCAACTAACCGGATATTATAAGTTATTATTGCAAACTAAATGTGTATTTCACAACATGTGGTCACATTCTGATAATGGCAAGATATGATTTTTAGTGAAAAAACACCAATAATAATATGAATTTAGATGGATTCAACTGATAAATACCAAGATAAAACGAATGATAAATTCTTTGATTGCTGTTTCCAAGATAACTGTTATATCTAACTTTCATTTTTCTTATACTAATTATTATAAAACTTAAGTAAATTGTTGTGTCTATGACGTCATTCTACGAATACATCATAAATTGAGGAAAAGTAGCACAGTTTCTATAATCCGTTTCACATTAAAGCTTAATGTGAAGTAGTTTCAGAAAATGTTTTGGGTATTCTGAAAGTTTATACTATTTTTAATAGTTCATTAGCTAGTGAAGAACTTTTTTAAGAGTTTACAAAATCAGTATATAAGTTAACATTAATTGAGAGCTAATGAAAACCTTAATTCACTGAGTGTCTGTTTCGTACTAGATAAGTTATTCATTACTAGTGATCGACTACAGTATCACCCAGATTCAAACTGATGTACTTTTGTGAGCATGTTATCATGAAGTTATTGATTTGTAATTTCAGACATGAATGAGATAATCGAAGGGTACTTTCTAGATTTTCATGGGTTCTCTAACTGATACCAGACTTTGAATCCGACAAAATTTCAAAAAAAAGTAATTAAAATTTATCTAATTGACAAAGATATATAGAGTATGACTGCACTAAGTTTGAGTATAAAAGTGCAAGAGAAGGTGACCAAAATGTGTGGTTTTTAAATTGTAACTGACTGAAAGTTTTTAAACGATTGGTTGTGTTTGATTGGTTGTTTGAATTTTATTTCATTTTATTCCAATATAATATGGAGCATATCATGACAAATTGAAAGATTTTGTTGCCTTTATAGGCAGCGAAACTGTTAAGGCTAAATTACCACAATACATTAAATAAAGTAGAACTTAACATATAAGTGGAAGATTCGTCACTTTTCCTATTGGTCTAAATTAAAAAATAGTGGAAAATGTTAAAATAAGAATTAGAAAGGATGTAAGGAACAAATGATATAAATATGCACGAGCAGTGTTTAAGATATAGAAGAATACTAAGTTATATTTTATGTAACTATGAATGGTCTTTTTTGTCGACTAGGGTCAAATAGTTGCACTCTTAAAAGTACTTCAAATTCAGGTTTCGACTTAGCGGATCAAGCTATCAATAATTAGTTCAGTGTTCCGTTCTAAAAGTATTTAATGAGTTTTAACAACATTGAAATTTAAGTAAGAAGCAACGGTTTATTAAGTGTAGGTGTCCGCAACAAACTTATCAAAATAATTATGGATACTATGCATAGAAATTTTTCATAGTATTATAGCAATGAAAACAAATAAATGACATATAAATTCTTTAGGAAAAGTGTTGGTGAAAATAAGGTAAGGACCATCATTTACTCATTTGTTTGAAAAATACCAGGCATTTTAGAAACTACCCGAACTAAGACATTAAAATTAAACTAAAAAAGAACTTGATTTGAAAGTAGAGTTCGTCATTGTTTGATATCAATCGATCAATAGATTAACATTTGGATAATATGGCGATAAAACGAATTTTCTTAGACTAATGTAATAGCCCAATACTTTTTGAATAGTTTGATCACACATATATTTATTAAGACAATTATATTTGAAAAACGAAGGGTCATGCTAGACAAATTGGAAGATAAGGGAAAACAAGCATAATAAAAAAATGTGAATGACATCACATTGGATAGTAAATTATTATTACCAGAGTAAGTTCAAAGTCCATTCAGCTAATATATCCCATATTTCTGATAAACTTCATTTCACCAAAGGGATTAATTGCTTTAAATTTTTTGAAAGACCCCAGATTTAATATTTTCAAGCATTACATTTTTAACTATACAAGTCTTCATGCTAGATAACTAGCTTCAACTAAAGCATACATTTGTTATTAATGGATCATTCGTTCAAACGAATGACTGCATATTTCGACGTTGTTTTTTATTGATTCCATCAATTTGATCAGTAATTCAAAAAGAATATAATTATGATATTAAATATTGTGTTTGTAGATTTATGTCAGATTAAGTGAAGCACCGAAAGTCATTAATCAAAAGGTATGAGTTCTATTGTAAATGCAAGACATAAAAGAAATTTATAAATTCTAAATTGCACTTCAAGAATATGTTGGTTGTACACGGTTGAAAAAATATCGAAAATTTCAATAGTACAAAACCGTGCTCATCATCATTGTGCTTGCCAGTCAAAATTTCATTAGTACCTACTTAAAGTAATGTTATATTTTCAGGTTTACAAATATCACTTCACTAGTTTCAAATCAATCATATTGAATTATAGTGACAGACTGAAATATAGAGGAATGAAGTGGATGATGTTTGCTCTTCCTATATTCATATATGTATAAACATCTGAAGTAATGGATCAGTTAATGAATGAATTAAAGAAGTTTTAATTTTCACTTTTCTTCCCAAAAATCAACGTTTCTTTAAATTGCTTCACATAATATACCTAATAACCTAAAGCGTTCATTAAATTGACAGTAAAATGGATTCCGATTGATGATATTAACAAATAGTCTTACTTTATGAAAACTT